ATCGAAGTTTACTTCTGAGTGGCCCATTTAATTTTAGAGTTTCCTTCATTTCCTTGGTCACTAAAAAGCAAACACAAATTGAGCTAGATCTTGAGAGCACCTCATGTGTCATAGGAATATGACTCACTCGTACTCGAACATTAAATTATTCAATTTATTTGCATTAACTGCGACAGATCCCCTGCACCCAGCAAAAGCTGAAAACCTGTTGCACTTTTCCGCATGCGAGTCGTGAGCAATTAACAAGCAGTTCCTCATTTTTCCAGACAAGACCATAATAGGACAAACTGACATTTTGAGACCACAATAGCCAGAGTTCTATCAAAACCATTTGGCCAATCGCCCGTCCCTGTTTCCATTTGATAGCATTTAGGTGGAAGAACTCACAGCGGCTTATCTTATTTTCAACGCTAACGCAGTTTGGCCTCTGTCGATGATTGAGCAAATGGAATTTGGCAATTTCGATGTTGGGTCTCTCGGTCTCTCGGTTTTCTGGTTTTTCGGTCTCAGCTCCCCCGGATGACATCACGCACTTTGATGGCCAATCCTACCCAGGATTGGTGAGTGTGTATTTGAGGGTAGAGACCTTTATTAATCTTATCAAAAGATGCTTTTCTACCTTTTATTTTACTTCATTGCCTGGGGTGTTTTTTATTTTTCTGTTAAATGTCAGACAAGCGGGCAGGCCTTAATCATGAGCTCATTTCGGGTGTCTTGTTAATAATTTACGGAAAAAATGTTAGATAATATATAATTTCATGTTTTGAAGAGGTTATATAAATATATTATATAATTTTTTACAAAGATTTTTAAGCAAAAAGCAGCTGAAACGGAATTTTAAAGTCTGCAAAGAGAAACATTTTTACCATAAATGTTACTAATTAATTTCGCATATTTCAAGTTTCCAAGTTATTAGCTATTAACCTTTTTAAGAAGGTGAACTTCTATAAATAGCTGATTAATAATTAGATCTCCTATTTTACTGTGTACCCGTAACGTGATTACGCACAATTTCCCCTAGTGTGGGCGTATTTATGACTGTGATTATTTTGCTTGTAGCTCTAATTGAAAAATAAGTAAACAAGTAATTATAGAAATTCCCAGGCCGCTGAATTCCATGCAAATGGGTAAAATTAAAATCTTGGATAGTAAACACAAATCGCATCAAAACAAAGGTCAAATTAGCACTTTAATCAAAATGTCAATGAGCAAATAACGCGCCCGACGTGCCGAATGAAAGGTGATTTAACCGAAAACCGCGGGTTTCTCTTTTCGTGGAGGTGGCAGAGCGAATCAGCAAAGAACAACCGACAAATTGTGCCGAGTCAGGCAATAAGAAAAGATATTTAAACACAAGAAAAGCAGACACACAAAGACCAACCAAGTTCATTAAGACAAACAGTTAACCGAAAACCCTTAGTTCAAAGTGCGGTTAAAAGTGGCGTAAAATGGTGAAAATGCTTGATCTGGACCGTCACGCAGAGTGCCCACTGTGGGCGGCACTGGCCTCATCGGATGTCCCATGGACGGGCATGGACTACGCCTGCCTCAACGTGCTCAGTATCTACTGCAAAGTATTCGATAGGAAGGAAATATACGATCTCATCGTGAGGTATGGCCTATGGTTAGCAAAGCTGCCGCTAGATGGAGCCAAACAAAAAACTGCCTCGTAAGCTAAACGAAGCTGCGCACAGTGGGATGAACTAGGCATTTTTTGAGTGGAATGTTTATGTTTATTCTACATGTGGAAGATTTTTGTTTACTTTTTTATATATTATGGGATATTATTTTATTCTTGTTTACGAAATAATGTATACAATATTAAAAGAAAACAAACCTATAGGAATATATTTGATATATATTCATTTTGAAGAGCGGGCAATGGTAATCATAGTATAAGCCCAAACATATTTTTGCGGGATTTTAAGAGATTACTTAAACACTTATTTCTCCTTCCCTTTCCAGGAAAACCTGCCAATCCTGCAAATGTCCTCGCGAGGCACACGCCATTTACCAGCAACAGACGACCAACGTGCACGAAAGACTCGGCTTCAAGCTAGTCTCTCCGGCGGATTCCGGAGTTGAGGCGCGAGATCTGGGCTTTACGTGGGTGCCGCCCGGAGTGAGAGCCTCTTCGCGGATCAACCGTTACTTCGAGCAGCTGCCCGATGAGCTGGTACCTCGGTTGGGCAGTGAGGGAGCCTGCAGCCGAGAGCGACAGATCTCGTATCAGCTGCCCAAACAGGACCTCTCACTAGAGCACTGTAAGCACCTGGAAGTGCAGCACGAGGCCTCCTTCGAGGACTTTGTGACGGCGAGGAATGAAATTGCACTTGATATAGGTGAGTGATCTTTCAAAATCTGATCAGATTATAAAATATAAAGGATTAAAAGGCTTATAAGTGAGAATGTGTTACATCCCAAACCCAGTCCCTTAAACCGAGTTTGTGGCTAGCTTTAGTTCTAATTTCACCAACGTTGACCCCACCCTGGATGACCTAACTGATTGCGTTTTGCATTATCTTCCGGTTGAATAGCCTACATCAAGGATGCCCCCTACGATGAGCATTGTGCGCACTGTGATAACGAGATAGCCGCCGGCGAGCTGGTCGTGGCGGCACCCAAGTTCGTGGAGAGCGTGATGTGGCACCCCAAGTGCTTCACCTGCAGCACCTGCAACTCGCTCCTGGTGGACCTCACCTATTGCGTCCACGACGACAAGGTCTACTGCGAGCGTCACTATGCGGAAATGCTGAAGCCCCGCTGCGCTGGCTGTGATGAGGTAAGTCCCGCGAAGCAATTGCTATATAGGGTATTTCCTCCCCGATCCGATCCCTAATTGAAAATTATTGTGTGGCATACTTTGGGGCGCATTCAGCGATGGTATCTGAGTGTCATTTTCCAAAGCTGAGGGTGTCCCTGTGAGTGAGTGCCCGCTGTCACGGGCTCTGGTTTTTATCGCCCGCCACACGCAGTTCACATTTATTGCATAGGTGCGGCTATCGCCCTTTCCAAAGGTTATGGTTATATGGCATTTTCATTGAACTTCACTTTGGAACTTGGAGGAGGAGCTGGGGATATCCTCCAGTTCCTCTAATGCAGCAACTCGGCGATGGCTATGGATGTGGCAACTAAGAAATGACAGCAGTTCATTGGCAGCATTGGTTGTTGTCGCGTTGTCATCCGTCGAGCGGAAGTTCATTGCGAGTGACCCGGAAATTTGTGGCAATTCGGTTGAGGTCAGAGATTGCAGGAATCCAGTGGAGGTATTCGCGAACTCTCATTGATTGCTACAAATTGGTGCAGTTTGAGGAAAACCTAGAAAATGTAAATCTATTTTTGATTCTACACAGAACGAATATAATGACGTTGAGATATATCTCATCAATTTGTCGGTAGAATCAGTCTTATTTATACCTGTTCTGTGCGTCTTTTCTTTATACGAATTCCAAAATTTTTGGGTAAACAAATTTCGTTTATAGAATAGAAAAGCTGCTTTCGGAAAATCTAAAAGTGAAAGAATTATATGTAAAATATACAAGACACTTTTTTTTACTTAATTGAGACATTAAAAATTTAAAATAGATCTTATATTTGTTTAAATATTTGAAGATCCTCATAAGTAAGACGAAAGTTGTTAATTTAATTTTTTAAATGTGTGAGAAAAGTATTATAAATTTTTATTGCTTAAAAATGCACGTTTATTAATGTTTATTAATCAATAAAAAAACAATAAAACTCAATAAATAAACATTCTTGGAGAAAGTTAAAAAAGGTATTCAGATCTTAAGTGACAAAGCTTATATTTTAAGTTTGCTTTCAAAAAGCCAATTCTTTGAAAATAATTACCTAAATTACATTGTAAATTTCTTTTACATTTAAATTCATTCACTTCTTTGCTAATTTTCCCAGCTCATCACAAAGAAAAACTTTCGCTTTCGCTGTGAAGAAAATCTAAAAAAAATAAATGAATAAATCGGCTAACAGGCGACCTATATATTCAATTCAAAATTTATGTACTTTTTGGCAACATTTCTAATGACAATCAAATGATAAAAATAAACAAAAGAATTCTAAAATAGTCAGGCTATAAATGTGGGGCAAGAACACAATTATGCGACATTTGACAATAATTATAGAGATTGTTGCCGCTGCATAATGTGAAGAAAACACAGAAGAGAGAAATAACAGAGAAAACGGCGTGAAAGAGCAGGCCACAAGCTTCTGGCAATGTTAGTGTCAGTGCCAAGACGAAATTTATGGCAAACATTTGTGTGCAATCCGCTCGGAGGCGGAGAAATGGGGCGTGGCGACCCTGGCCCCAGGCGCTGGCCATGCCAAAGAAAAACAGATTTGCAAACAAGGAACAGTAAGAGTCATTCGTATAAGAATTGGAGAATCTAAGCAAATATTTGGTTTGGAATTTCTGAGAGTGCTAAATAAGATTGAAGAAAAATAAACAAATTAAATTTGGATTTGATTATCCAGAATGCTGAGGTACACACATGGCGTATGAGTAATATTATAGGATTTCTTCTCTAAGGGAAAATATGAAATAACATTTAAATTATTAAAGCTTAGAAAGAAAGTGTGAAAATGGGTTATATATGTGAATAAACTATAAAGCTTAAGCTGAAAATCTCTGAAGAAGATATCTGAAGATTAGGATTCTGTTTTCCAAATGCAGGACATTATTTAGTCCAAAGGAAATGGAAGTTTTAGATCTAATAATGATATATATATGATAAATTTCAATCTGCCTACACATTATATAAGACAGTTGTGTGTTAAATTGTAAATCGTTTATCTTAATAATGGTTAGACATTAGAGTTTGTGGTTTTAATTAAGCCAGAACCTGCCCAATCATTTTTTTATTGGCCATCTTTTTTCTATTGGTTTTTCCCTTATCTGATTTATGGCCATTTCGCTGACTGTTCTCCCGCACGAAAACTGCGAGCAAAGCAGAAAGTGGCGAAAAGTGTTTTGTGGAAAACAGCAAACGAAGCGTAGACCAAAATAGATCCCCTGAAAGAAGGGGGCCGGGCTGTGGTGGGGTGGGGTGTCGACTAAACTGATTAGAAAATCCGCCTTGGCCAATTCCGATTGCTTTGGCATTTGACACAAACAGAGGCAGTGCAGCAGCGGCAGAGGCAGCAGCAGAGGCATTTGTGCTGCCAAATTGCCAACGACAAAAGTTCGGCGATGTCTTGTCAGTTGGTGCTGCTCTCTTCGCTGGCCGTCAATTAGCGCCGTTTGCCATTTTAACGGATTCGGTTCTTGACGGTTCTCTCGCCGCTGATTCATTTGTTCTCTAAACATCGCAAGACCATTGGTAACTTGCCACCGCTGAGACATTAATCAGTTGCAAGACGATCGATTAGCGGAAAGCAAGAGCCCGCTGCCCGTACGACTGCAGCCGCCTGGCGATAGCCCACTTCCGATTCTCCTCGCCAAGCGACGCTCTCATAAATCATCTCAAAACGTAGATAAATAAATAAATATCGATGATTGGTCCAATGATTTGTGAGCGAAAGTGAAATAAATATTTTTCGAATTACCTAATCGAGTGGCCATTAACGTGAGTGGTGTGAGTTTTTCGAGTGCGTGGTGAATATATTTTATATAATACGCGTTAGCCGATTCGTTTCTCGCCGCGATACACTCTCATTGCATCGGCGAACGTTGGAGGATTCGGATTCGGATTCGATTCTGGGCATTACGCAATGGCCGCTGAGGAAACGGCGCTAACCGGCGTCGGCGAGCTGCTTTTCTCGCTGCTAATTGGCTACCTGGGCGCCCTGGAATTCGCCTTCGTAGCGCGTCATCTCTACCATTGGACTTTCCAGCATCCCGGCGGTTCTTCTGTAGATGCAGCCGCTGACTCAGAAGAATTGCCTCGCATGCGTGAGAGATTGGACAAGGAGATCAAAGAGGCGGCTGAAAGAGAAGCTCTAGCGGGGACCAATCTCATGCAGGATGGTGTCCTGTATAGCAATGGAATACGATTGGATCCTGCTGGAGATAAAAGAGAAGCTCTTGCGGCGGAACTGGCACGTCAACAGCAAATCGAAGCGGATACACGACGTCAGCTGGCCGAAGCCGAAGCTAAACTGGCCGAAGAAAGGTTAAGGGTCCAGAGGGAGAAAGAAGAATCGGAGGAGCAACAAAGAAAGCTCATAGAGGCCGAAAAACAGCGCGAAAGAGAGCAAGCTGAGAAAGAGCTCCAAGAACAAAGAGACGCCCAACGCAGGCAGCTAGAAGCAGAGGAGAACGAGCGTAAACAGCGCGAAATCGAAGAGAAGGAACGCCAAGAGAATGAAAGAAAGCTGATAGAGATCGAACGAGAAAGGGAAGAACAAGAACGCAGACTGCAGGCAGCTGAAGAGCAGCGCGAACGTGAAGAAAATGAAAGAAGGATCATAGAGGCAGAGCGTCAAAGGGAGCTAGCTGAAGCCGAGGAGGAACGTCAAAGAGAGCGAGCCGAGCAAGAAAGGCTCCTGGCAGAGGCCGAGGTAGCCGAGGCCGAGCGACGTCTCTTTGATGCCGAAATCCAACGAGAGCGAGAACAAGCTGAGGAAGAAGAACAGGCTCAAAGGGATGCAGAAATTGTAGAGCGCCTTCTGGCAGCTGAGAGAGAACTCAGTATGAGTGCCACCGAGAGCGAACTGGAGGATGACGCTGCCATTGCAGAGCAATCACGACGCCTGATCTCCAGCAAAACCGATCTGGAGCAGAGACAGCGAATGATCGATGAGAATGCCCGACGATTCCTTGAAGCCGAAGAGGAAATGGTGATGCTGCAGCAGCGTCAACTGCAAGCCACCCACAGCAAAGAAGAGGCAGAGGAGTATGCTGGAATGGAGCCAGTGGTGGAGGAACCTTGTATTAAGAAGGTTGCTCCACCCAGATTCCAGGAGCCGGAAGAGGAGCCTCTGGTGGTGCAGAAAGTGAAAACCCAATTTGGCCAAGGAAGCGGTTCCGAAGATGGCTATTTGGTGAAGTCAAAAACACTAACCTTCCCCGGTGTATCGGATGAAGGATCCTCCGTGGAACCCTTCTCCAGCCAAAAGTCATCCTTCAGCACTCAACCCTCTGATGAAATGAACCGAACCGAAGGCGAACGCCCAGAGCCGGAGGGTGAAGATCAAATACCGGATGTCCAGTACACCGAGGACTATCTTCGATCCCTTGATGGGATCAAGAACCGCCCCTTAGTTCGAGAAGATGGTTCAGGAAGGAGAAGAGCCTTTAAAAAGCGCCGCTCCAGTGGCAGCTCCAACTCCTCGCGAGACTCACGCGCCTCCCGCGATGAGGAGCTGAAGATGTTTACCTCGCTGGAGGAGGAGGAGCTGCGTCATGGCGAAAGGGAGGACTATAACCCCATTAAGTATACGAGTGAACCTACCCTAAGAGTCAAATCCCACCGACGACATAAAAGGAGTCCAGCAAAGGATGTAAGGCCTCCACCAGAGGCGGGTGGATCCCTGGAAATGCTCGGGGAAGAGAGCACGAATCCCTGGGGTGAGGTGGTACCGGAGCACTATAAGGATACCGAATTCTGGAAGCGGGAGAAAGCTCTCTCGATAGACGAAGAGGAAATCGAGATGGAGAGACCATCCAGAGGAGAGGATGTAGAGGATGAAGCCACGAATGAGCCCAAATCCTCCTCCTTTGAGGAGGCTACCGAGGCCCAGAACGAGGAGGCAGTGGCTGCCCTGAAGCAGCAACTTTCCAAGGAGCAGGTGGTGAGTAAATGGAACTAGCAGTCAAGGATTATTAACAATGGTTTATTATGTGTGTGCCAGGACAAGGAAACGGAGAAGGATAACTCGCAAGCAGTGGATACCAGCGACAGCAAGAAAGCCAATGTAAGTGCGTAGGACAGCCACCTAGCTCCCACTCTTAAACTCACTTAATCCGATCCAAACCTGATCCCCAAACCACCAACCGATCCCACTGCTGCTCAACTAACTGCCTTAACTGCTTTACGTCTTTGCTTTTCATATGGCTACCGCTTCCGTAATCCGCTTGCCTTCCCGCTTTTTCCGCCTACCCCCAAAAGCTGCAAACCTCTTCCGCAACAGAGGAGCAACCAAGGGGTGGTTCACCTGGACTGCGTCGCAGTCCGCGTATGGATGAAATGGAGCATTACCCGGAGCGCTGGTCCGCCAGTCAGGAGCAACAATCACTGCAACAGCAACCACAGCGAGCAACTCCTTCTATCAATGTCCAGCAGCCGGATACTGCACCCTGGCGGGATCAGTACGGATTGCTCATGGAGGGTCTCAGCGATTTTTACGATTTTACAGCATCTGTAAACCCTTCGAGATCCCGTTCGGCATCCCGAAATCCCTCACCGGCTCCAAAGAACGTGGCCAATCTCATGGATGTGGACACGGAGCGTTCATTGGAAGTATTTGACGATACTCAGGAGGGTGTAGTGGCAGGTGAAATAAACTGCGAGTCTGTCCTTCAAGTGCTGGAGTCGAACTTGAATGGAAACGAATCCTCGAATGAACAGATGCAAATCCAAACCGTAGCCGATGATGCCAGGAATGGGAATTCCGTAGTACCAATGGTATATCAACCCTTAGAGGGCTCTACACTTGGTACTCCTCTAGAGGAAAGAGTAAGGGAGCCATCTGTTGACAGGTTACCATCCCGATCCCGTTCTCGTTCCCCACTTCCTACCTCAGAGAACTTGGAAAAGAGCATCCACAAACGCAGGGAGCGATTGATCAAGCAGAACGATGAACTCGCCGAACGTCTATCCCACTCCAGCTCTGATGGTTCCATAGAAGTCGAAACCAATGGCAATGGAAGATTAAGCCCTAAACTGGAGGTAACTCTGCCACAGCCTGTGATAGAGATTAATGAAATGGCCGATGAACCAATGGAGGATACCGAAACTACTCCAGAGCAGATGCGTCTCTTTGTGGAGACCTTAAGAGCTGAGAGGAATGCCCGCTCCGGTTCACGATCCCGTTCCCGTTCTCGTTCCCCGCTGCCCACTGCGGATAATATAGAGAAGAGCTTGGAAAGTCGACGTCTAAAACGTATTCAACATAACGACGAAATCTTCGAAAAACTGCACGAACAAATGCCATCGCCAGAGATTGTAATAGAATCCGCTTCACCGCCCATTTCCCCGATTTCCCCCCTACCCACTATATCCATCGAAATTGTGGAACCACCAGAGGAAGCTCCAGTTCAACCAGAAGCAGAACCTGAAGATACTCCCGAAAGCATGGCTAGACTTTTCGAGCAGTTGCGTTTGAACCGAGTTCGTTCCCATTCTCGATCCCGGTCCCGCTCCCGTTCTCCACTACCAACAGCCGCAAATCTGGAGCAAAGCCTGCAGAAACGTCGCGAGAAGCTGATAGCTCAGAATGATCAGTTCTTTGAGGTGCTCCAGGAAAGAGCCAGAACCCCGGAGCCCGAAACCCGCTTGACCGTGGAGTACGTCTATGAGTTTGTCCAGGAGAAAGAAGAACACATTGTTGAAGGTCGCGACATGCGATCCTTGTCCCCATCCCGCTCTCGATCCCAGTCACAAGAAAAGGTGTCAGATGACTTCCATTTGATGCTCAACCTGGAGGGCAGTGAGTTGCGTACTCTTCGCAAGAACAGCGAGGAGTTGGAAAGCGTCCTGGCAGCAAGTGTTAAACAAAGGGAAGTGGATTTGGAAGCATTGGAGAAACTGCACAACGCCAACGAGGAGATAGAACTCCGCGTGCTTAGCCCTACTAATTCTGAACTAGAAAGAGTGGTGGAGATGACACGAGAGAATCCAGATCTGGACCGTACAGTTTCCGAGGTGGCCAGAGATCTGCAGGACGAACTCGTAGCCAGTGGCTTTAAACGCTCCACTTATGTGGGTGAATCCCTTGATCTGGGAAGTGATCAGTTTATGGATCTACGTCGCGGGACAGCTCAATTTCAAAGATCCCGCAGTCCATCTCCTGGCATGAGCATGGATTATGCTCGCGAACAGGCGGCGGCACAAAGGGAGCTCCAGGCGGCCATTCTAGATTCCCTAACCGAGAGTCGTTTGGGTGCCAAACCCAAGACGTACCCGGAGGAGAGAACTCCCGAGTCCCAGGATATATCTGCCGCCCAGCTAGATGATTTGAGACATCGCACTGCCGAGTTTCAGCGTTCACGCAGCCAGAGTCGTTCGCCCTTGAGGGAGGAGGAGTTAACCCAGCTAAGGGATATCGAAGCTGAGTCGGCTAAGAGGGAGCTGCAGGATCAGTTGCTAGATAGGTTGGCCGCCTCGAGCATTAACTTCGAGAACTTTTCACGGCACTTGAATGCCGATTTTTTGGATAGCGAGCGAAGGGCCTCGGACTCCGCCTTGATGGGTGACATGGAGCCGGATGAGTACCATCACTTCCGTCGCTATTCATTGGCCCAGGAACAACCCATAGAGGAGTACCCCAGTGATGACTACGTTTACATTTCACAGATCGAAGTGCGTACTCTTACCGGAACCAGGACTTGGTTAAAGGAGGATTTTTACCCCGAAGAACGGGAAGATTTTTCTGATTCCAAAAGTCCAATAAGAGATGAAGATTCCTGGGCCAGAGCTGTTTTGGCTGCAGAGGCGGAGGCGGCTGAATTCGATTCTACCAATGCCATTTACAGCTATGATATTGTTGGGGATCACGAGAATCTAGATCAAGAAAGGAGCAGCTCGAACGACAGCGAAGACACTCGGCAGACTGTGGTGGAGATCGACGACGAGGATGAGTATGAGTTTGAGTTGGACGAGGGAATCTCCGATAACAACGAACGCACCCAACCCACCGATGAATCCCATCATGACACTTCAGAATGCGAGGAAGCGGAAAGGAATGCAGATCGCTATGAGAACCGGGGAGCTCAGGATTGGGAGGAAGTAGAAGATGTGGAGGATTTCCTTGACTACGGATTCGATGATGGTGCTGTGGGCGGAGCAACACCCTATTCCGATCCAGACTCCTTCATAGAGCAGATCTACAACGAGGCCATTAAGAACAGGAAACAGTCGGGTATCCTCAGGGAATACGAAACCATGGTCCAGGAGCAATTGCCCTCGGATCACAGTGAATCTGATAAGGAAAAGTCCGGCTCTGAGAGTGAGAAATACGCACTGTGGGCCAAGACCAGGGAACTGGAGCGATCCCATTCCAGTACCCGACATTCAGATGTGGACATTGCCTTGGGCTTGATACCGGAAAGTGAGCACCGAGATTCTGAGATGCGTTACTTGGGGGATGCCCACGTGGCGGCCAGACAGTCTACACGGTTGCGTACCCGTTATGGCTTTAATCCTAAACTGGATGTGGGCGAACTGGAAGATGACATCGAGGTGGACCTGAATTACAAGCCTAAAAGGGAGTATAACTGGCGCAAGAACTTTCGGCTAGATGATGGTGTTGAAGGGGAAAGGAATGTACCAGAAATAGCAGATGAATGTAAAGATCAAGATCAGGAAGCCAGAGATCAGTTCGAGGAGGAATTTGGATGGCAGGACAGAGAACAGGAAGAACATGAACAGGATCAGGATCAACCCCTATATACAAATGAAGAAAATGGTGAGATCGAAAACGGAGAGCTTTTGGAGAACCGACGGATTAGCTTAGGGGGAGAAAGTATAACTCTCTTCAGCCGCAGTCCTGTTCGTGAAATTCTACCAGAGGTACCCGAAGAACTTCCTCAAGAAGAAGAGATACCCCAAGAACAGCCAGAAGAATTGGTTCTCCTGGAAGAAGCACCCACAGAGAAGCCCAAAAAGAAGAAGAGCAAAAAGAAGCTTCGCAAAGGTTCGAAGACCGAAGAAGAACTCAGAGATGACAACGATTCGGACACTCAATTTGGTTCCAGTCGCCGCTCCGAAGATCAGGATGCAGCTGAACCGCCCAAGAGAAAGACACGCTCCAGGAGAAGCTCCAAGAGCAGCTTGACCAACGAGGAAGGTAATGGAGGACCAGGACTCTTCTCGCCCAGGAGCAGTCTAGCCTTTGTAGGTGAATCCTTGGAGGGCATAGCTGAATTTGAGCCACAGGAAAGAGACGAAGACCAGTCTACCAAGAAGAAGACTAAGAAACGAAAGAAGTCTTCGGTAAAGGAAAGCAGGGAGGAGGTTAAGGAGGACATACAACTCCAGGTCGCAGAAGATTCTCACCTAGATCAGGCCTTGGCTGCTGCTCTGGCTGAGATTGCTCCCGTTTCAGTGTCCACTAACTTGACTCCAGAATCCACCCAACAGAACCTACTTTCTACCATCAGTACTGGACAGAGTGTGTGCATAACCCCAGCTTCATCGATCGAGGAGATTGGAGAATCCCCTTCATCTACCTTAAGTACTGTGACTTCTGCTGTTGTTCCCGCTCGATCCGTCGTGGACACCTTCGATATACTCAAAGACGCCAACTTCTATCCGCTCTTCTAACTCGCTTGGTTTGAGAACTAATCCCGTACCCACCCACCCATTCTATCAGCCCTTTGATTTACTCTCTACTCTGTTTCTTATAGACATGTTCATAAGCCAAGCCAAGCCAAGCACAGCCCAGCACAATCCAGTCCAAGCCAAGTCACCTCCAAAAACCGAGCACGCTGTACATGAAATCAGTCCCCAGTTAAAGAACCAGTTACAAGTGTCCAGAAACCAGCATCCGCTCCTCTGACTGAGATCGGGATCGCCCGAATCCCGACTTGTATAAACTATGTATTATACTAACGACCCAGAAAAGAAACCTTTTTGAACCCTCGAAATATCGAATTGTTTACCATACTCGTAGCTGTTAGTTTATTTAACGATTTTGTCTTTATAAAAATGCCGAGAATAAAAGCCAACTGAATAAATGAAGAAAACAATCCGTTGTACTCTGCTCTGCTATAAATAAAGATACACCCAACCGAATTTATCGTATCTGCGATTTGTGCCAATTCTGTTTCTGCCACCGAAATACTCGGACATTGAGATCATTCATGCCGCCCGGCTCTGGGTGTCATCCATCCATGGGCCACCAAGTGCAACCGCAGCAGAAGAGGGAACCATAAATTGTCCCACAATTGCCCATATAATTTTATATATCAATTTATATATATACTTGTGTCCCAATTTACATTTTTGCATGATGTCATCGTTTGACATATGGGTAATACCTACGAGCCTGGTAATGGGCCAACACATAAACCCCAATGAGAAATGCCCGCCATATAGATTTACTCGATTTTTAATGCTCTTGTCATTGCGACTATAAACGAAACCGAAACAATCTGTCATGCACACGAATTATATATAGTTTCTTTGGTTTATTCTCTAGGATTTCATGGGTCTTAAGACTGAATAATGGGCCTAAGGTCAGGGCTAAGTGGTATTATGACTGACTAGAATTTGTCAAGGGGAATATGGGGAGATCAGATGGTTGTTTTGGTATTATAGCTAAAAAATCATATATTGTATAATAAACATCAGAATGTAGAAATAAAAGAAATTCCTTATATATATAAATATAAAACATAAGTATTATTAGTGAACTAAGGGAAATATCCAAAATAAGTTAAATAGTCTTTACTTTTATTACGGACATAATGATTTTTAAGTTTACCCCCAAAGTATGCAGTATTTTGATCCCGAAAGTATGCTAATCTATGGGCAACTAATCCAGTTTTTACCCATTCATTCATTGAGATCTCTTTCTTTCTTGTCATTTTAGGGAAATATAATATTTTTTGCACTTCGCGTGTTATTTGCTTTGGCGAAATGCCCCTGTCAAGTTCTGTATGTCATATCCTTAGTCAAATTAAACAAAAGTCAGCCACTGAGAGGCGACAAAGGTTCGCGAAGATAACAAATTATCTCGGCGACTGTCAGGCCGCAAAAGGGGGAAATTGAAAATGAAAAATTCCCAAAATATTTATGACAGGCCGGACAACAGGAAAGTGTGTCACTCGAGTGATTTGTTTACGCAGCTCACTTGGCTTTGTTCTACAGTGTTTTTTTTTTGCACTCTTTGAGGGGTACAAAATCGGGCCATTTGGAATTTATTTCTGTAAAACTCATTACGTAATGCATGTAGTACACATATACTGTATCTCTCCGAACTTGCGTTAGAGTGCCACAGGCATACAAACACGGCCAAAACGCTGCCAAAAAGTCTTATTCAATAGTTTTGTCTTTGACATGAATTCATTTTTCTTGCGGGGCACACTTAAAAGCCTGAGGTTTTATTTTCATTTTCCTTTCATATTTTTCCCCAAAGTACAAGTTTACGTAGTATATACGCTGCGGCGGAAAATTGCCTTAAATTTGTTTTAAAAAATTCACTTGAATTTTGTGCGTTCAGCTGGTAAATGAATTTTTCATTCTCAGTGTCAGTTAAATGAAACACCTTTTTTCCACACGGCCAAACATTTTCCCAAAATACACATTAGAGAGTCATCATTTTTCTGCATTCGTGTATTTTTCAATAAATTTCCAAAAGACATGACTTGATTTTGCTCGACCAACTTAAAGACAAATTAAAAATGTGCCAATTTAAAATGAAATCACTTTTTAAGGCGCAGCTGTTCTTAAACTTGAACTTATAGACATCACCCCATTGGAATAATTCACACAGAATAGGCTCCTTGTCTTGGGAAAGTTTCCCTCCCCTTCAGCCATTCGCATTTGATTCTCGCTCAATAAACATCGAAATAAAAAATATAAAAATACGCTGGAAATTATAGCCAGCTGTCTATATAAGAGTATGTGTGTGTGTCTGAATTTATGACCCAATTAACGCTTTAACGCCTGCGTGAAAAATGCCAAATAATCGTAATGAGGAGCCAAGGGGAGGGGACAGCGGTCACATCACGCAAAAACTTTTTATCAAAGATTCGCGAAATGCAGTTTATTTTTAGACCAACTCACAGATTGCATTACACACTTCTCTCCATTGCTGTTGTTGTTGTTGTTGTTGTTGGTCGTGTCTGTGGCGAAAATAGCAACAACTAATATACACATGCAATGTGCATTATTCTATAAGTATATGGCCAAGCACGAACATATATCATAGTGCATATGATAGATAGGCGCATGGCCAGCGAAACTTGATTCGAAGGCAGAAGTTAAGGCCGGAAATGTATTTCCATTTCAAAAAAGAGTAGGGGATATAGAATTTTTATATGATTTTTCAATAACACATTTGAACTAATGAAAATGATTTAAAATTGTTTTATTTATGGGATTTATGGTAGATCTCAGTTATTTATAGCTTGTTTAGTTATTCATTTGAGCAATGATCTGCCATAAAAGCTTTTTAAATACAGCATTAAATGTATCATTAAATTGGAGGAGGTTTTCATTGTTTATTTAAGTTTCCTGTGAAAGCACCTCCAACTTGCTATTTATTTGTATTTTTTCCTGATTTTTAAACTCATAAATTAAATAAGAAAAAACACTCCGCAAAAGTTTAAAACATATAAATCAATGATTTTATTTTACATTTTTGATTTTTGTTTTCGGATACTCATCTATACTAAACCCCCCTAGTTTTTGCCTAGCCCACGTCACTGGTACATCATCATTAAAGCCATAAATTCCCATCGCAGCAGTGAATCAGTTTACATCAACATTTTGACTCTTAAACAAAGTCATAATACATATATTTTCCCTTTTAGACAGAACATTTCACGAGTTGTTGATTTTGTTTATTATTCATTTTGATCTGTACGATTATTCTTATGGCGCGCATGGGTTAAACAGGCGACCTAGAACGTCGTTTAAGGCCTTGTTAATTGATTTCTACCACTGAACTGTCACCAGAAAATGTTTCTTTTTGCCATTTGTACTTGTTTGGTTCTCGCAAACGGAACCTTGGACGACTGCCCTTAGGTGTCGCGTCAATTTGTCTAATGGAAATTTGTTCTGCCATTGAATAAACATGGGTTAATATTAATTGGCCTGAAATATATTTTAATGCGTTGGAAAACGATGAAATTGATTTAGGACCTGATGAGGTCATGATGAATAAGAGCTATCCATTAAAGGCTATCAATTTATGCTGATGGATAAGTCAAGCGTCAGAGTTCTTCCCGAGAAACTACCTTGCTTTGCTGGCATAAATATTAAGTTTCTTTTAACAACATAAAATAAACAAAGTTAAGTTATAAAATCTATAATTTAGAGATCATAGCAAACTTAAATTCTGAAAACTAAAATGAACTTCTTCTATTTATGGGTATTTTCTCAATTTCGAATGTTTTCCAACATTAAATTAGGATTCATTTTCCAATTTGCCGGCACACCTGTTGGTTCGTTTCATTTCAGTAAACATTTTCCCATCGCCCATTGGCATTTCAATGATGTCTGCTTGCCAAATGCTGTAATGCAAGAAAATCAAGAATGCTGCGGAATGCGAAAATAAATTCCGAATATTAATACCATTTCGATAATGTACGGTCTGGAGATCAATTAGGGAATCTATTGGAAAATTCGAAAATACCGTAGGGATGGGATAAGCGCAAAATGCCAGACGCAGATCATTGTTTTAGTTCCCAGACCCATGGAAGTACTCGGTTTATGCTCGATTGGCTAGCGATCGTGTCGTGTGTAGTGCAGTGTGGGAAGAAAGAGAATTTTCCTCATGATTTTTCAATGTGTGTGTGCGTGCTTCTTGTGTGTCGTGTGCACAAGCGCCAGCCAGCCAGCCAGCCTGCCAGCCAGCAACAACAACAACAAGACGGCAGCCACACTACATTTCACTTTGGTGAAAAATTGAAAATTTTTCGAAAAACTCTGACAAGCGATTTAAGGGAAGGCGGGTGATTATGTTTTTAAAGGGGTGACCACCATGCCACACCCCATTGACCGACGGCAGGTGGGCCGTCCATACGCCCACAACTTTTGGCACCTGACTGGCCGTTCGATTTTTCATTTACTATTTTTAGCGGGAAGCGCGAACGAAATATTGCAAGCAAATTGCCCGAAATCGTTGAGAAAATTACCCAATTGCATTGCAGATTCAATAATGCCGTTAATCATTGGCGATATTTACATTGTCTACCGCAATAAATTCAGCCGCCCGTCTTGTGCCGCTTCGAAAAAAAATCAACCTCTCCACAGATGTTAGTTCGCTCTCTTTGCTTGAGTTTTCCGGGGAGACTGCCGACGCTCTCCGAGATTTTATTTTTACACTTGGCGGTGGCGAAACTAGATACAGAGCGGACTGAAAGCGGTGCAGCAGGCGTTTTGAAAAACGTTTTCGGAAACCGCTGCGCCAGTTGAGATCCCGACTCGGCAAAGTTCATACCGTTCCTGGACCTCCCAAATCAATCGAAAATTGAAATATACACAAAAAAACAAACACACTAATACTGACACTCGAGATACAAATCCAACAGATACAATACAATAATAATTATAGAAAGTTCAGTCGGTCATTAGAGCGAGCGAGATAGAGAGCGGGCGCGATGGCGGACGTGGAAATTATGCAAACGGTGCAAACGGAAGTGAAGAAGACCACGAAGAAGGTCAAGAAGTCGTCGAAACGGCGCGAGTCCGAGGTCCAGATCAGCGAGGTCGAGGTGGACGCCACCATCGAGGAAAGGGGGTAGGTGACCTGTGTCATGTGTGTCCCAGCACAGTTTTGTGGCAGTTCGTAATGATTATTATAGTCCATCCTGATTCATTGAGATATATCTTGTGGTCTTTGTCCGATCATCCCAATACAAAACATTCCAACATTTCAAAAATCTATATATATATATTATATATACATATATGTATACCAATCCAAAGTAAAACTCTCTCTCGCATATCGAACTTTTACAAAACGACACACGTTACTACTCTACTTTCCTCGGCAAAAATGTTTACTAAAAGGTATCCACCGAATGTCTATCTAAGTACACCCACTCCAAGAACAACAACAA